CCCCATCAACCCTCCTCCTCCTCCTCCTCTTCCTCCTCCTCCCAAAACTTGAATTATGCTCGGGTTTTTTTTTTTGTATTGAGCTTCATCTGGACAAACCGCATTACAGCATGCGAACAAAAGGCAGGGGTCGGCTTTAATTAAAAGATATTGTGATGAGCTGGGCTATTATTTCCAATTAAGACCTCATCCGAAAATGTGATGATTGCTTTCTAATATCAGGCGTCGTTTCATTCAAAGCATTTAAATACAACTTGTCACCAGACGTGTCTGCGAGTGGACTACATTTCTGAGAGCAAAGTTGTGTAATTGTTGATATTTACTGCGATGTGATTAGATTATGATAATGGACTTTACATTAAATGAACAGTTTACATGGACTATTGGTTCTGAATTCCTTATTTTATTATTAATATCAGTTTAACTGAGCCAAAAATATGTCCCCACTGATTTATTTTTCCAATATTAATGGCTGCTGAAAGTAAAACTGGACCTTAAACACATCACTTTTTAAGTAACAACACCAGACTGAGCTCCTCTCAGGTCAACCCCCATACATTGCAGTAGTTTAGAGCGCCCTCTACTGTCTGCACATTAGTCCCCATATAACCTGATTCTCTTGCAATTTGAATCTACAAAATTAGATATTTTTCACTTCTCACAGTCTGGTATGTTCTTATCAGTGGTGGAAGAAGGACCTTAAATCTTTTATTTCAGTAAAAGCAGCAAAACCACAGTGTAACAATACAAGTAAAAGTCCTTTTATTCAACATCTTACCTATATTAAAGTACAAACATTTGAGAATAAGAACATACCAAAAGTAAAAGTAGGCAACTCATCATTTCAGAATAATAAATGTTATATAATTTAATTATAATTAATGTGTAAACATCAGGGGTGCTGCAGCTGGAAAAGTTGGAGCTGGTTTCAACTACTTTATATATACTGTCAGTTGGCTTAATCCATCATAATCCATCATAATGTATCAGTTGATTTATATGTTGTATCAATAATCTTTAGTAGCATAATATAGAAATACTCAAAATTGTTCTTAAGTACAGTGATTGAGTAAATGTACTTAAACGTGGTCAGGTGATCTGATCCTTGTTGACAGATGGTTACTGTGGCTGTACCCACTAAAAGGACTATACCAGTGGTTTTGCACCTTTAGCCTATTTTTAACCATTTCCCAAAGTTTTTCTTTGTTTCTTTTCCTCCTTCCAAGAATAAACTCCTTTCATTTTCCACATGATAGATGGATCAGTGTGCAGACAATGACAGCGTGCATCATTTGCTGTATTCTTCTTATTAAAGTTGCAGCTACATTTGTGGTAATTGAGTTGTAAGTGCAGACTGAAGTGAAAAGTATAATGATGATGTGACAGAAATAAATCTTGTTCATCATGATGATTCGCTATCTCAAGAAAGTTTAAGTAGTTTGGTAATAAATGCAAACCAATGGCTGCCTGAAGGGAAAGTATAAACATAGAAATCCCTTTATATACCCCTTAAAAATGATTTTATTTGTAATTAATTGGCTGATTCATTCAAAAACACAAAGACCAGTTATAGTTTTCTGCCTCATAGCTGGTCTGTAATGAATATAGGTGGCATACCTTATTTTATAGGTATTGTTATACATTATCATACATATGTACATTTCTATCGCTTCCTTATCAGAAGCCTGATTCTTCCAGAGTGCCAAAATATTTTGTCTTTCATGGGCTAAATATTGCTTGACTGTGACCCCATTTTTAAATGAACACTCGCCACATCTCAGCAGGAGAGAAGTTCCTCACCATCACAATGAAAAGACAGAAGCTACATCAAAAACTCCCTGCGGCCTGTATCAATCTATCTCATTTTAACAAAACAGTATGTATCCATTTTGCCCCCTATAAGTAAAGCTTTTATCCTCTATATAAACAGGAACTTTTATGTTTCCGCAGCCCAGGTGTAAGTGACATGCACCATGCTTCCACTGAAGTCACCCCACTCCCTCTCTGACAAAGACAACAAGAGAGAGAGACGCTGCCAATCAAAGTGTATGTGACAGCACCCCCCTCCTACCCTCCATGTCGCTGTCTCCTTCCCATCAGGCAACTGCCAGCCCGTCAGATAGGACTTAAAGGAGGCTGCCGATAGCCTGAGCCGCTGCAGCCAGTTAGACTGGAACATTTCACACGCTGTCACAAGTACATGTGAGTGCCTTAAGTTGGATCACACCTAGTAAAGGGCCTTGGACGGGGGGGCAGAGGTTGAATGAACAGTGTGTATTTGTGTGTGTGTGTGTGTGTCTTCTGTAGTGTTTGACCAGTACAGGTTTTCAGCCATGCTTGTGGTGTGGCTCTGTGGCCGGGTCCGTTGGTTGGTTGGTTGGGTCGGTCAGTGGATTGGTGGCTATACAATTTTGTACAGACTCTTGTGGTTATTATATTTTGCACAGCAATTGCAATAACTTTGGCAATCCTGTATTGTTTCATTTAGCGCAATCATCCATAAATACTTTGTTTTATGGCCAAATACAAAAGTAATGACTTCAGCCTCAGCTGTACTGTTTGTGTAGAGCTAATTAGCAAATGTTAGCAGGATAACCCACCAAACTAAGACTGTTAACATGTAAACATCAGACATGCTTAACATCAGCATGTTTGCATTGTCATTGTGAGCATGTTAGCATGCTGATGTTAGCATTTAGTACAGCCTTTTAGAGATGCTAACATGCTAGTCTGTTTGCTGATAGCCAATATCTTGTGCTTAACCTATATTTGTAAAGATTTTTTTTTCATTTTCATGCCTTTTCAAATTAAAAGCATTCAGTGCTTCTGCCAGAACTGTTTTCATGTCAAGGTGAAGATGCCTCGGTAAAAGCATTCAGACCTTAATGATTCTCTAATATGATCCTCACCATTGAAACCATGACTAATGACATTTGTCAAGCATCTCTATAAGCCAGAGTGATTCGCCAGATGAACCTGGATACATGTTGCCTTTGCATACAAAAAGCATCTACAAAAAAAATAAAGTCTGAGCAACAAAGGGAAATATGCAAAATAGCAAATAAAAATTATAATTTTAGATTTTAGTCTGTTTTATGAAGCTACGTTTTATATCACATCACATTAGCAATGGATAATATCTGTCCTAAAAGACAAGAATTCATCCTATATAGCACCAAACTATAGTACCTCCGAATGCTAACACCTACCAAAGGGTGGTGTGTGCCTACTTTGTCTTCCTGTTTGCATACACCAAATACATGTGTGTGAGGCACAGCGAGAGGAGTGTGTGTGCAGGAGGAGAAGGGATTATGAGTGGGAGCGCTGTGGGGGGTTTGCCAGCCTCCAGGGGGGAGGTGAAGTGGATTTCTTCTCTCATCCATTTTTCATGGCTTTTCTCCTTTTCTCTTTTCAGATCTCCAGTCTCTGTACATACGGCTGACGGGTCGATTCTCTTTTATCTTTAAGCATCTTTTGGGGACTCAGTGTGTGAGTCTGGTAGCGTTCGGGGGTGGTGTGGATGGCGGCGGCATGGGTCAAGGTTGAGACATGCTGTTTTTCATCAAGCTCTAATGACTATCTCACCACACTGGCTGCTAAGATAGTGCTCATTTGCTGATGTCTTCAGGGTTTTAATTGTGTGTAGCTTCAGTAATTTTCTCTAATGGTTACGGATTCTAAGTATTTAGTGGAGACGATGTGGATCTGTATGTTTTCCACAGTGCAGATGGATTGAATGGATATGATGTAACTGCATCTCATAGGAATATTGTGGAGGTCAGTCCACAAGGACCATACATAAACACTACTGTTTAATAGCAGTTTATTTCCCTTGTGGATTAATTCAAAAGCATATGTCTTTTA